AACATTTGATTATCTAATTAAAGTGAAATACTACTAACTATACAGATGAAGGTCTGTTAAATAATTTAAGATATTTATGCCAAATATCTTGAAATATTGAATGAATTTTTTTTTAATTATCCAATTCTATAAACAACAAACTTATAATGACCGTAATAACTTGTATTTTAACTCATTTTTGGTTAGAAGTTATAAATAGATTATCTTTTTAAGTTGTGTTATTATGATGTGAATATGAACAAGATTAATAAATTTTATATTCCTAAATTATTTCTTAAAAGGAAAAAAAAATACCAACCTAATCCGTACTGAACTGTGAAAAGAGTTAGATCTTCAAGGATTTTTAATTGCCAACTTAATCCAACATATTTTATAGTCTGGTTAAATCCTTATATATATGTTCTTTATACTTTCTGTTGTTATTTTTAACAAGATAATGTGTAGTCTATTATTTCGTTTTAACATTTTTTATACTGTGTTATTTTTGAATACTTTAAATTGCCAAACTTAGAAGGGGGACGTTCTGCTTACAAACTTTTAAGGTAGAGTGCTCCTTTCAAATAATCATAAATATCTAGGTAAATAGTTGTTTTTGAGATCGTATCATTTATAAACCCATTATACATTGAACTAGTTCAATGTCAAGAACTAATTAGTTTACTCTCCGGAGCTAGCGGGTCCAGTATTTAATTTTTGGGGGAGAGGCTTCAGTCAGAAAGTTTTTTTTTTTCATATATATAAAGATAATTACTTTGGAAAAAAAAAAAGAAACATACTAACTGTCTGTATGAAATGGTGTTGAAGTGATTCTTGAAATCCTACTAAATGGAATTACAGGAACAATAATAATTTAAGAGATTATTTTAAATATTTTTTACCATAAAACATGGTTACATTTTACCATTTTGGGAGAGAGGGGCTTCAGTCAGAAAGCTCTCCTCCCACCTTAAATTCGCCTATACTCTCCAGGCATGGTGCATTTGGAAATAGTTATCAAATCAATTTGGCTGGAGTAAAGCAATTACAAATATCAAAATCTTCTTCACCTTCTACAGTGTCTTTAGCCTGTAGTACAGACCCCTTTTTATCAAATTAATAACATCCGCCTGAAACTTCGTGGATGGTTTCATCTTGTCGTAACTTACAAATTTTTTATCTACGAAAATTCTTAGAAATAGGTCATTTTCTCATTAAATTAATAAATTTAATTAGGTATTAAAAACTCATAAATACTCATTTGCTTTTCACTTGAATCGCAAGATAATTTTATCACAAAATTGAAAAGCGTGGCCTACAAAAACATGAGGCCGTTTGGCGTACATAACATTGTTACTTTGACATGTTGGGGGTAGAGGTCACGTTAAATGGTCCAATATTTTTTTTAGGCATCAACAATTGGAAAGCAAATGGATGTGAATGAGTTTTTAGTACCTAATTGAATAGACAAATTTTGCCGATCTCCAGATTGAAATCGCCCCAGTTTCGAGAATTTTCATAAATAAAAAAGTTGAATGTTACAATGAGACGAAGCTATATACGAAGTTTTAGGGGGATGTTAATAATTTGATAAAAAGAAGTCTGTACCACAGACTGCTTTGGCTGACTGGTTTTTTTTAAACTAGTTCCATCAATCTATCTACTTAAACGCTCGCAGGATGTAATTCGTACAAGAATTTATGTAAATTCTATTCTTAGAGAATCTGAATATTTAAAATCACGTGAAAGTTGACGGCACATGAGAACTTGTTGAAGATGAGTCTCTAGAACGAAAGATTATAATATAGTAATGACTCAAGATAGGAAATATGGTTTACACTGAGAAGTCTGGTATAAAGAGAGCATATGTGAGAAACTCCACTTCGGCCAGTATACATTTCTCGGTTTTATTCAGTACATTTAGAGGTAAGGTTAGTGCTGTAAAAGCAAGAGGTTTAGTTTAAGACTAAACTAATTATAATAGATAAATAGACGTGAGTTATTAAATACTAAGCAAATATTTATTTACAAATGTTCCAAGTTGTATACAAAATATTACAGAAGAAAAATTACAAATAACATGTGAAATTTTTTAAAAACATTTTGTACTATGCACCTAACTTGCAACACTGCAAGATTCTTTGTCATAGGCAAAATTGAAACTGTTCATACTTTTAGTTAAAAATTTAATTGTAATGTAAAGATTGTAAGTATGAAACTTTTACTAGCCTCGATATATAAATGTTTGAAAAATAGATTTCCATGTAACAATATGAAATCCTTATAATAATTTGAATAAGGGTCATAAATGTTTTCACTCAGGTTCAGGAATAGATAAGTATTTAGTCATTTTACTTGCTATGTACATATCCATCATGTTTTTAAAAATTAGATGTTTCTTTTACTGATCAAACCATGTAACAATGGCTGCTAATTTTTATATTTAAATTATTTAGAAACTTAAATACAACTTGAATTCCAAATTCATTGTGGGTAAAGTCTTAAGGTGATTTCTTTAATTCCATTTCACTTCTCTTCCTTAATGTGTAATTAAGATGAAATATAATTATTGTTTGTTGATATGATTAAATTAGCTTTATTCATATCAATGCAAGGTTTTAGAAATATAACTAAACAATATTTTATTATGTTCTATGAATATTTCCTATAGTATCCTATGAAATCATAATGAACTTTAACTCTGAAATAACTAAGAATTTTAAATAATGTAAATCGAATATGTTTATTAAATGAATAATAAGATTTTAGAGATGGGTAAATAGTCGACTGATCAATTATATGGATGAAACAAAATTTTCAGAACTTTCAGTCAAGAGAGAACTCTTTGAAAATTTTGTTTCATCCTAATAGTAAAATTCTTCCTAATTATCTACTCTATTAGCTGATACTTCTTCTACGAATGAATAAAAACTAATAAAATTTGGCTATAGTAAATATATTAAAAATTTTCAAATAATGTGACCGAGGAATGTCCTTAATCAATAAGTTATCTGATATTTTGATCTTATTATTTTTTAAATTACCATGCAGTATTTTTTTTTTTTTTTTTTTTTTATTACGTCTCTTAAGGAATGTATGACAATTTCAATTCATCATTCATACTCAAATTAAAGTCATACATTTTCTGGGAAGAAATCAGATCAGTATGTCAGTCTGGAATGATTCACTTTGTGGTTGACTCCTCTAGTTTTCCTCTGCGCTCTCAGCTATTGAGAAATGAGATTCTTCTTCTGAAACTTGTTTCCTGTTGATTCAGTTGATTCGTAGGTAATTGTTTATCATTGGAACTTTGTTAAATGTCTTCAAAAAGTAATAGTTTATGTCTATGTCCATAGAAATATCTCACAGCAATGTAAGTACAAATGCATCCGACTTGAGAAGTGAAACTTTATAAATAGCTGAAATTGTAGATTAGTTTCATATTTTGGCCTGAATCACCAAAAAAAAATAAATAACAAGAATCAAATAAGAGTTGGATCTCACAAGCAAGAGGGTTATTTTCTTGATACACCTAATTAAATTTTTTTAATACATAGCTAAGTACATAGCTTGCTGGGGGATAAAAAAGTGGGTCAGTGGACTAAGGTGCAGGAAGAAAAGTAACCTAAGGTAAGTATTTTCCTTAGAGTTGAGTAAGTGGATAGATGACCATTCTCCATATAAAGCCTTGTTGATCAGGATTCCTTAGAAAGTCGGCTCTCTGTAAGGGTACATGAGTCCCATCATTGTCATTAGAGGTAACATACACTGATCAGGCTTAGTTGTGATAACCCCTGTACATTCATAAGAATTTGTGTGGTGGTTTTCCAGGATATTAAAAAATGATCACCTAGAAATTCATTCTAGAGAACATCTGCTTCAGAGTGTAAAGTTCAGATCTTCTTGCCCCTGTTGACACTGAACAGCCCTAATCTATGAGTCTAGAGCGATTTGTCACTGCCTTTGAACCCTAATTCCTAAGTGAGAAGGGCACTGCTACATTGTTCCAAAGGTTTCATTGAGTTAATTAAGCTATAAGCATACAGCAGTACTATGGACACCATGGTTTGTAACTATACAAGTTATAAAGGTCGGCCTCTCATAGCCATTTGTGTTTCCAAAAGTAAATATCAGTAAAAATATCACATCACATGGCCTTAGATTGTAATGGTTTATGTTATACAATCCAATTGTATATATAATTATAATGGTTGAAATCTAAGACAATCCAATTGCAATCGTTGATGTGATAAGAAATAAATAACAATGATAACTCTAGTTTTAAGGAAATGGATGTTTAAAGATTTAATGGTTTGGTTGCATTCAGAAGCATAATTGCAAGTACCATAAAATGATGAAACTTTATTCATGGAGATAACATTTCTCCAAACTATAATAATTTCTTTGATGTCATCAACAAAAACTAAGTGACTGACTTGGAATAGCTTCTCAAATAAACTGGAAGCTATTTCTCTATGGAATAGAAAGTTTTTTTCTGGTTGTGAAAAACAAAGAAATTGTTCTAGTTTTGAAGTTATGTTAACCTGAAGGTATTAAGTGTATAAAGTTCGTTTGACGGTACCAATATCTGACATTTAGAGCAGATTTTCTAGCCTACGGGCAACATTGAGACATCGACCAAGCTCCATTGGCCCCATTGGGAACTCCACCCAAATCCTGCGGGCCATGGCTTCTGATGAAAAAAAATATCTTGTTCTATAAATGACACTTCAGCTATGAAATCAGCTTTCTCAGAGGAAAAAAAACAAAACAAAACATTCAATAAATGTTGTAGTAACGTCGTGTGGTGAGTGATATACTAAATTTCATATTTTTAAAATTTTATCACGTTATCAAAGAAACTTTCGTGGGCTGAATTGAAGGTGTTTGCGGGGAAGATCCAGCCTGCGGGCCATACTTTAGGGACCTTTGATTTATAGCATAAAGTTTTGTTTAGTAAACTGTTAGCTAGAATTAATAAAACAATGGTTTAAAATAAAATATGATTTTAAAAAGTTTCAACATAGTGTGAAAAAATAAAATATTAAAGATTTTTATTATTATAAAAAATATAATAGTTTATTACATAAAAACATCAGCATTTAATACAATTTGTTTTACATTTAATAAATATCAATATAAGAAGATATTATTTCTTTCCAATAGTCAATATTTTTTTCAATAAATATTAATAACTTGGTCAGATAATAAATAAAATGGATCATATGATCACACAACACTATGTACATATTAATCTATTTTTAAGACAATGTCATTATCACTAGTAATGTAATGCCAGGATTTTTATGGCTCTGTGGTATTAAATGACATTATTTACATATGCTCGTATTTATTTTAATATTAGAACAATTTTTAATACTATTAGTTTTGTACATTATTTATAAAATAATGACAAATGGTTTATTAAACCTACTTAATTATGTTATTATAATTTACTTAGTAAGTAATGAATTTCAAACATAGCTGTTGTTTCTGTTGCAAGCATTTTTAATTTTACCATTTAAATGCCAAACAAATGAAATCTCATATAAATAATTAAAAGGTTTATAACTTGTCATAAGACATCAATAAATTAAAAATTGATTTTATACAAAAAATTACAAACATGTTCGTGGTTTCAAATACTATATTCCAGAATCATAATTATAATGTCCAGTCTCATAGTAATTTAAGCTAGTACTGCATCTCAAAGTACTGGTGTCTCTTCTATGCCAGTCTCCATGCCTATTTTTGAAGCTGTTACACGTGATAATTCCAGACATTCCAGGTGGTCTATCACAAGCAATGGGAGTCGGTGTTGATGGTAGCAAACTTTTAATACTTTGATCTGAACCATTTTTGTTATATTTCTTTCCAGTCATTACGTTTTCTGAACTCTTTCCGATTTCTTCATACAGCTTCCTGGGTCTTGATAAGCTAATGAATACTAGTACCATTGCTCCCTGAAATTATAAATAATATTTGCTGAGTTATTTTAGATATTGATGAATTCATTACTATTCTTATAATATTCTACATTCTCTTGTTCAGTACTAAAATATATATAAAATATTCTTTTAAGTTACTGATCTCAAATAAAAGTTTAGGAAGTTGGAAAATAGCTTAGCATTAAACATTAATAGATATGTTATAATTGAAGGAAATATAAATAGTTTCCAGAGTGTCAACAATCCTTTAATTTTCATTAGGGTTGATTAAAAGACTTTTGTTTTGGATCACTTGGTCTCAGATGGGTAATTGAAAATAGTTGATTTCATAAAGTAATGAAACTTTCAAATCAAGGTATTCAACAGAAAGCCTATTTAAAATTTTTGAGTTATGTATTACTACTTCAAAAGGAAGAATAAAAATTCTCTGCCAATGAAATTGAGATATTTTTGATAAAATTCTATTTCATAATAATCAGTTATTTTTCAATTTCCACATTTATAATATAAATTTCTTTATTCATGTATAAGAACATGATTTCAGAGTGCTTCATGAAAATATACCCCAAGATTCACACTACACCTTGTACTTTGTTGCCACATTGGGTCACTTTGCAGAATGGAAGTCTCTCTTCAGCAACTATAAGGGTGAGAGGTAACAAGATAGTTAGCATACTGTTACTAAACCAGTATTTGTTAAATTTTAGCCTTTACCAATCCATGAACTGAACCTTATTGTAACGAGAGACTACGTGTTGTGTGAGTCTTGCAGATCTATTTTCATGAAATGCACCCTATGGCAAATTATATTATGTCTATATATAATGTAATTTATTGTTTTAAATATTTAAAATGTATTAAATAATATATATTTTATGGTTACTATATTTGTTTTTTTTTTATAGCTTTATAACGATTTATCTATTTTGTCTAATCAACTCATCTAAGAGAACAAATAAACCAATTTTACTGGAACACTATGTAACTATTTTTTGTTAACAGTAATTTTTTGATTTTTTATGATTTAGTTTATGAAACAAATACTTACAAGTATAGCACCAAGAACTACTATAAACATGCTGGCTTTGTTAAAACCCCATGTGTCATACAAAATTCCTGATGCTGAAGGGCCAATAAATGCTCCTAATGCAAACGTGGAAGTCCAAAGTCCTGATATGAGACCATAAGTTTCTAGATTATTTGGGAATCCATGAGCTCTAAAATCATATAACATTAATCAAACATTTGTTAAATTTATCCAAAAAATGACATTATATTTTAATTCTGATCTAAAACTTGTTAACTTGTAATTTACTCAATAAGAATTAAAAGTAAGAATTTTTAACTTGATTAATTTATTTCTTCAAATACATAATGTACTGGCAGGGCCTCCAGATAGGAGCAGGGGGTTTGCCAAATCCATGGTCCTTTATGACCAGGTGGTTAAGGGACCCAATAAAATTGTAGGATTTTAAAATTAAAATTTTATAGATTATTAAAATTGTTGGTAATAGTTAAAATAGTTAGATCATGATGGCCGAACGTTTTAAAGCATAAAATTTAACATTCGCCTAATGATGCCGGTTTGGGCTGTGACGGTCCCATGGAATGAATTTTAACCTTCACACTCCGATTAGAATAGATTTGGTTGTATTTCTAGAACATTTATATTGATACAACTTATAGTCTTAATCCACCACCTAAAAAAATTATCTTATATAAATGAATGCTTCATTTTCTTTTAAAAATATTACAAGTTTTTCTAGTAGTTGAAAGGCAATGAGATATCACATTTCTTCTGAGCCATGCTAACAAACTAAACATTCTCTCAGTATTTTTCATGAAACTACATCCATAATTTATTCAATATTTTAAATATCCTGACATTAAGACTTGTCAATTCACGAATATTTAATACGGTTTTAATTTGTTCATTTTCGAAATTACAAGGCAACAAAGGAAAAATTAATACTTACATTGCTGTACGAAGAGCATCTGTGAATGAAGCAACAAGACAAGCTGCAATTCCAAGACCATGTGTCATTAATCCTAGGACAGTCACCCATAGAACACTGGAAAATTGTTCACAATTAATAAAACAATTTTTTTTATTATCCCCAAGCTAGTTAAGTATATTTCAATACTTACGTATCAAGTGGAATGTATGGTGCTGGTCCAATTAAACTGAAACCAACAATAAGCAACATACATCCAATAAAAGTTGCAACCTTTGGAAGCATTCTCTTATCACAAAGCCATCCCCAGCATGGAGCAGTCAGAGCATAGGTTCCACCATTTATGACGAACATGACCCCAAGAACCATTGGTGACAAATTGAACTAAAAAAATGTTAAATTTTAAATAAATAAAATTAAAATTCAATTAAGGGAAGTAGTTAAAATAATGTTGAATGTTTCTCTTCTACATTATTTGATGAATGTATTGTTAGATAATTATTCAAATCCATTCCTATATTCATTATTTATGTATATATTGAATTTATATATATATATATTTGTTTGAAGAAAAACGTTTAAATGAACATAATTAAAATAATCGACACATTATATACTCCTTTACTACACATTAATTAAATTTTCTATTTTACCTGTCTCAGGTGTGGTTCAAGAGTTGCAGATAAAAATCCAATACTCATGGATGTGACAATGATAGAACAAGCTGCAAGAAGTACACCAGGTATCCTTAGAACTTGAGTCAAACTGCCTGCATATAAAAGTAGTAAGTTTTTAAAATTTATATAAATCTTAGTGGTGGTGGAAATAGTACTAATTTAAAATTAAGAAAACTTAATGTTTCAATAAGTATATTATCTTGATTTTAACTAAATAAGTTGTTTTCAATTAGAGATAAATTGTTTTTTACTTATTTTACAAAATCTTATTTTACTTTACATACTATTTTAGTTAGCAAATCATGTGTAATCAAAAAGTGTCTAACATTAAAACAATATTTCTTAATTTAATGCCTCTTATGAATAAGTGATACTGAATTTTTAATAATATATAGCTACAATTATTTTATCAAAGTTAACTTTATTAAAGAATGAAAGCCATATAATGTATGTTATTTTATTTGTCATTTAAAGACACAAATAGATATCTTGATTAAATAACTGGAATATGGAAGATGAATTATTTAAAGTAAACAAAATGGAAATTGTATCATAGAACGTTTTAGTAATTTAAAAAAGAAAAATGAATTAGTGAATGAGAAACAAAATGTAATTTAATGGAATCTTGGAGAGATTCTAAAATTAAATGAAAAACAAATATTCATAAACAGTTTTAATCTTAATTGATCAAGTGAGTTTTATAAAAATTAAAATAATAGTTTCCTATTGCTTATGGATGATAAAAAGATCTCTGACCTCCATGTGTAGAGTCAACTTCATGATCACTGTGATCTGGTAGAACAAACCATGTCATAATAGCGGATAGAAATAATGCTGAACCAAGAACTACAAATGGTGTTGTATATCCTCCAGCCTAAAATAAAGAAAACACAACATAATAATTAATGGATTAATTGATAGTTGAACATGAAAAAGCAAGAAATTGTTTTGAATAAATTTGCTCATTTAGCTTTTATATTTTTATATTAAATATATCAACAGTCTATGTCCATTGAATGATTTATGAGAACATTGAATTTTAATTAGATAAAAATTTCCTGTATATGAAACATGTTTGCAGAAAGGTATAAGAAACTTTGAGGAGTTGGTTGGAGTGAGGTCAAATTAAATACTATATATTATAATATTAAGGGTATTGTTCTAAATAAAGGAGGGCTGGAAACTGCTTTACTCCCCCTTGAAAATAGAGAATAGATCCAAACATTGAAGAATGGAGATATGATTAAGTATTTAGGATGTACATTCTCGGGGAAGCTAAAATTGAATGAATATTCGGTGACCAAATTGAATAAAAATCTTAATAAGCTGGTAACCTCTTGCTTACTTAAACTTCAGCAGAAGTAATGTCAATCAATATCTGTTCCTGGGTCTTATTTACCCTGTCTAGATGGCACTCCTCAAGAAGCTGTGTCCTGCCCCACTGGATGGCATCGACACCATGATTCAAATGAGCATAAAGGCCGTTATTGGACTCCCTGCGAATACCTCCAAGGGGATGTTGTATGCCACAAGGAGATACCGAGGATTGGGATTAATCCGCTGCCAATGGGAGACTCCTCTTCAACATTGGTCTACTGCTCAGCCACTGTCCAATGTACCAGATGCCCTTTTCCAATCAACTTTCAATTATTCGGCTGAAGTTGCTGAATGTGCCGAGAGATTAGAGGTTGATTAGGTTCATTGAAATATGAGAGCTATATAGCAGTCCCTATGAAAAAATTAGTTTGAGGAATGGCCCAACTGCAGGTTGCAGGACATTGGTGTTCACCATTTTAAAGAAACCCCGAAAATGAATAAATACATGTATAAAAAGCAAGTACTTTCTGGGTCTGAATGGTTGAATGTCCTGAAATTAAATATTAATTATGCATACCTGCGTGGAGTTTCAAGTGTTAGTGGACAGGTCAGAGAAGTTGAATCCCTCTGTCATAAATGCGGCAGAGAGTCTGAAACACCAGCTCGTGTGCTGGGAAATTCCAACAACTCCCTCCTCATAACACGTCGACACCATAGGGTCAAGTTCGAATAGATGAGGCTAATTAGAGAAAATGAATTCACCTGCTTTGATGAGGTCTATTTCATCAACAGTGAAGGTTCTACTAGATATACAGATATTGTCGCATTTCCCAGCATAGAAAGGATAGCGCTGATCTTGGATCCAATTGTCCACTTTGAGAGAAATGACCTTGATCAGGCAGGTGAAGTGGAAAGGGAAAAGAAGAACATATATGATAAATGTATGTCTTTCCTAAAAGAGATGTTCTGTAAGACCTTCGGAGATAGAGTTCACCATGAGAGGCCTCTGGTTTGGGTCTCGCGGAATGATTCCAAAAAGACCAAGGACCTTTCTTGAGGAACTAGGTGTCAACATTAAGGACGTAGTGAGGTTGGCTGAAAATATAGTCCTAGACTCCCTGGGAATCATTCACTACCACGTGCATGGGCAGGGTGAGGATTTTAATTTATGTATTTATTTATTGAAAAAGTTTTATTGTATTAAATTGTATATACACTGTTATTTTTGTTATAGTTTATATTGAATAGCTTTAAGCATCTTAATACATGTAGCATTTTAGAGAGATAAAGAGAAAGGAGGGAGAGAAAGAGAAATTAAATGAAAATAAAAGTGCATGAACAAGGAAAAATAAAAAGATATATATATTATACTCATACTTATTAACAACTTCTGTATATTTATGTATAAGCTTTATTGATTGTTATAAAGATTAATTAATATGCTCTGTGTTCAGCAAACCAATAATTGAGCAGCAAGCTTTTATATTTTATATGGAAATAAAGTGTTTCTCTCTACGCCGACATTTTCACCCACTTTGTGGGTCTTTATCAGGAGTTTTATTTAGTATTTACTAATAATTAATTCTTTTTTTCATTTTGTACCTTCTGTAGCCCTGATGAAGACCTAGAAAGTAGGTCGAAACTTCAGCGTAACCAATAAAATAATATTATAATTATAGTATTTAATTTGACCGCACACTTTACCAACTCCTTCTCATATTATAATCACGGTCAGCCATCTACATACCAGTAATTACTTTTTCTTGAAACAAGAAAAATTATTATATTTTTGCACACTACTTATATACATTATCAGAAAATTCCTTTAGGAGCTATTGTAATTATATACATTATTTTTATAATTATTAAAACCATTTTACCAGAACTACAAAATGGTTTCCACAAAGCGATTTTTTCATATTTATGGCAGGATTTTACTCTAATATATGGGTTTCATTTACTTAAATGACAGTGAATCAATCATATTAAAAAAAATTCAGGTTATAATTCTTTCTTTCTGGCAGTAGAGCATGTTTTTTTTTAAATTTATTTTCTTTAAATTGAAAAAAAAATCCTTTATTCCACAATAATCAAATAAAAATTGTTTTATTAATCATTGAAAATTCAATTTGTCTCAAATTTCAAGATATTTATATTCAATTTTTGTTTTCATAATTTTTAACTGATGTTTTGAAGTTGAGCTGTAGTCACAACAAACAGGTATTCAGTTTTTTTTTATAATATGGGATTACTATTTAGTTTCGACCTAAAATTAATCCATCCCATTAATATTAAAAAAAAATATTCCATCTAATTGAAATTTTCTTACCTCATATAGGGCTCCTCCTACAGTAGGTCCCACAATTAATCCAAGACCAAAGAAAGTTTCCAAAGATGCCTGTATAATTTAAAAAAAAAAGCCATTAATAAAAACTGAATTTCAAATTTTCAATTAATTTTACATGAATCACAGATTAAAAATAATATAAATATATAATATATTACTTGAGACACAGTATTGATAAAACAATTTGTTCGTATTTCTTATTATGGGGTAAGATACTGTGTCTACTTGTGAGCATGATTTACTACATTCAATTATATCTACCATGGATCACCGCTGAGCCAAGAGAGCCTCTCTTAGAGCACAATTAACTTTTATGTAATGCTCCTCTAGTGGGTTAGAGAATAAAAATGGTGGTTGAACGTGTATCTTGACTACTGCTTCTCCTCATGAAATCATTGAGTAAGAAACAGTACATCCTTTATTATTAATTTGCTCAACAATCCTTTTAAGGGTCCTGGGCCTCAGAAACAAGCTTCCGCCAGGCTTCTCTATCAATACCTGTTCATTTCCATCTTTTTATACCCATACGGATGAGGTATTATTCATCGTTGATCCATCGCAGCCGGGATATTCCCATAAGACGTGCTCCTCCTGAGCGGTTATAAAGAAGTTTCCTAGGCAACCTATCCTCTCCCATTCTTTCTACCTGGCCTAGCAATCTGAAGTGGCACCTTTTGACAGTGACTACAATATCATCATTATTATACAGATCATAGAACTCATTATTTTTCTGTATTCACCATTCGTAATTTGTTTTCTTCTGACCATATATTTTCCTTAGGACTTTTCTCTCCCAAATTGTCAGCAACCTTTCACTTAGCTGCGTCAAAGCCCATGTTTCATATGTGTAGGTAATGACTGGCCATATAATGGTTTTATAAGTTATTCCTTTGGCGTTTTTTTTCTTCATCTATTGATCTTTAAAGAACCTTAATCAATTTTTCATGAGATTGAGAGAATATCTTACTGAAAGATCCATTTTGTTTCTTGTTACATTGGTTTTAAGTTGTAGATCGGGTCAAAACTAAATGCGTGGTTTTATAGATTAATTGGATGAAACGTAAAAATAATACTTACAAAAGTGGTGGCAACATTGTCTGGAAATTCCTTGGCTATTATAGCAAAACTTGCAGTAAGAAAGGCAGCATTTCCCATTGCTTCTACTATCCTTATAATAAATGAAAGAATGATGAAAGGATAATGGCCCTGTACTTTGTCCAAAAACCTGAAAAGAAAGGAATGAAGTTAATATAGTTACTATATAGCATTTAGAGGGAGAGAAGCAAGTGCAACTAATCATATACTCCACAGTGGTCAGAGAACCACTTGCGATTCATTAGAAAGTTTGCACAAGATTTATGGCTGACAAGAACAAAAAATGAATAAATCTCGTGTGTTTGAGTTTGTTTTTTTTATTTATTTATGTGATACTCTTTATTATGACTACAAAGATACAAAGATGTAATGAAGAAAGTAGAAACATGGAAATATATTGTGGGGAAACAGAGTATAACTAGTAAGAATAAGTATAAATTATTACTAAGCACCATAGGAGACTAACTTTATTTATAGTGTACATAATCATACATAACAAAAGAAAAAAGAAACTGAATTATATATAAAAATAAGAGTAATTAGGATCAATTAGTTGATCTTCTGTACGTCAAACTTCTTTATATTAAAAAGAAATATATATTACACCATCTTAAGAACCTTAAATTAAAAAAAAAGTCCATTTATCAAATAAAATTTCTGCACATTCAAGAAAAAGTTACATTTCAAAAATATATAATTATTTAAAAACAGGTTTTCCTTGATTTAGATGTTTTCTGACTCTGGAAAACTGACAGGCCACTTCCAGTTTGGCTGAGTCTTTAATTTCGTTAGTCATAGTTAAAGCATAAAGTGGTAACATTAATTTTTTTTTTTATCTGCCATAGATCAATTCTAAAGAAGATCCTCTTAGAGATTATTGTAATCCTGGTTTAAATGATTGTCAAAACTCCTTATTAAATTATAAATTGAGTTTGGCACCCGAGACTGCTGTGCATACTCCGAAAATTCCTTCTCTACATACTTCCTCATTATCTGTTCCTACTTGGTAAATACTTTAAACTAAATCGCAACATTGCCTATATATCTCCCTTTTCCCAGTCTACAGGTGTCAAGGTAGTATCCTAGGTCTTACTTATCCTTTGCATAGTTTATACAGCTGACATTCCAACACTGTCATCACCACTTATGAAGATGAAACATGTATCCTATCAGTTAATAACGATCCATCAATTGCATCCCAAACTTTTCAATTACACATCACAAACTTTGAAGAATGGCGTCAAAACTGGAGAGATTCTAATAAATCCCATAAAATTAACGTTACCCTTCGTTGTAAACCAATGACTTCCTATCCTTCAGTATCATTTTACAATTCTTCACATATTCCTGTTGAACAAATCTGTTACCTAGGACTGCACCTGGACAAACGTCAAACTTGGAATCCTCATACAAGTCTATATGGACAAGAAACTTCTCGACGTTTCCGACTACTTCAACACTTACTAGAAATACGCTCAAATCTTCTAATTAATTACAAAAGACTCATATGCATGACTATAATAAGGCCTATTTGAATTTACGGAGTTGAGCTATGTGGCTCCACCTAACCATCAAATTCCTCTGGTATCCAATCTTTACAATCCAAAATCCTTCATAAAATTCTTAATGGTCCTTACTTTGTTACAAATAAAATCATCCATAATGACCTTAATGTTCCTCATGTTTCTGATTTGGCCCAATCCAGATATCTATCTTTCCATAATAAACTTCATAACCATCCCAACAATCTTGTTTCTAACCTTGCTTCCTCTTCTATATTCCTGATAATCCTCCGAGGCATCTGAAATGAAGATGGTCCCGTGATCTCCTCATGTAGACATATTATTAGAGTGCTATCAGTGGGTAGTTTCTCAACATGTGTTTACGAATTTACTTGATGTATTTTTGTCTTCAGTTGTAAATATTATAATATATAATAAAAAAAAAAACATCAATAATTACACCCAAGATTTTGCCACGAGAAATTGATAAAATCTTCATGTAAAAATGGTAGGGTCCATATGAATGACTAGGATAATGTTGCTACATATTATCTTTCAATATAAACTAAAAGTTCAATAATAAGAACATAGCAAGTGGTGAAATGCTTGCATACCAACTTCTAGGCGTTAGCTTAGCCATCTTGTTGATTTCTCCTATTTTCTTAATTGATTTTATTCTATATATTTTATTCATTCATGTAGATTAATTGTTGTTGATTTTAATTTTTTTTTGCCCTTCGAAATATTGGGGGAGGGAGGGGCAAAGCAATATTCTCGCTCACTCTATATTTTTATTGAGGGAGGAGGAGGGTCTGCACCTATGTTATGAAGCACATTGTGGTTTTCTGAACATATCTTTTAATGCCTTCACGTTTAATTTTTTAAATACTGCAATCTGTTAAAGTCAAAGGCCTTCATAATATTCGGTAGGTTTAATATGTCTCCATTTAGTTTAATTTATTTGTAATAAGAATAACCAAAGGAAGAGAGATTATTTTTGATAATCTCTATTGATAAAATGATTCCGTTTCTTAGGGTCAACAAGTTATTTATAGTCAATGGTAGATTTGTTATATAATACAATATAATATGATTGTTGGAACTGATGTAGTTTATTAGATGTACTATCATTTAGATAACCAGAAATTAAACGATTGACTATAGGAACATTTAAATCAATACAATTAGGATTGGATAGATAGTAAATAGGATAATTATTTTGACCTTTCAGAGTGTTAAAGATAACAGACTTTGTTACTATATTTTGTGTTTATTGTAATATGAATCAAATAATTAGTTTCTGGACAAATCATTGATGCTAAATCAGCCAACTTAATTACACTTTATATTAATAATGAGTGATAAAAATTGCTATAATAGATAATACCTTACAAATAAAATTTAATTTCTCACCAAACAATTAAAAGTTTTTCCGATAAATGATTGAAATATGCTTTGTATTTAAATTTTTCTAATAAAAATATGCTTCTTGAATTCTATAAAATTCTTTCGATGAAAAATTGTATCAACCTCTTCTTAATTAATAGTCGAGAGTCTGAAAGAATGTAATTCCTGAAAGGTATTATATATTGTATCATCATTTTAAATACTCACTTGTTTATTTAATTATTATTATTTTTATTTTTATGAAAATAGTTTATGATCTTAAAAAAAGGTTATCAGTGTATGTTAACTTTTTTGGATACTAAAAAATGACAGTCTTGGGGGTTCAGCATAATCACAGAATGTAAAATTTACAATAAATAATTTACAATTAATATAATTATTAACTTTACTCATAAATCAAAACAAAAATTCTATAACTACTTTATTGTAAAAAAATTTATAATCAATAAGTTGATATTATATTTATTGATGTCATCCTGTCGAAACTGAAATTTTTATGATAAAAATTAAAACCAACACTAATTGTTATCTTGGACAATTGAAGTTGAACATAGAAAAATAATTTTTTTATTTCATTGATAACATCAGGCCCATTTCACTACTTATCTTATGAACAAAGTGTACATCCAAATATAAATTAAATTTCATTCAAAATTCATAATAATTGTCAGAAAGATTTCACAGATTAAATTTTCCATCCTTCAGATAATCTCCACAGGACTGGTGCAATGGGTTCTTATATTTTCATTAATTATTTTGCACCTTAATTGACATATTTCCTCTGACTGCTTTTGTTCAATATTTTCAAGTTTGTTGTTTATTTTACCATTTTCTGCTTGACATACATTTATTTGATTTATTAATATATTTTCTTTTTTATATTATTTTGCAGATAAATTATTCTCCTAGCATACTATCTCTTTATTGAGATTTTGTTTTAAATCTTTTATGTCAGTACCATATTTTTGGTTATTACTAAGGGTACAATTTTCAAATCTTTCTACCCATTGTTTGGCCCTACTACTGTTTTCATTTCTTATTTCTGTTGTAAATGTTTTGAAATTTTGTTCCATTTTTTCAAATTGTTTTATATTTTCCAATTTTAAATTTTTGAAACTATTTTTTAATTAATTTTTCATTTCATTAAATGCGGCTCATATTTGATGCAAGATCAATTGAGTGGCCGATACTCCCGCGTTAGCACCGTCATTAATTTGAATTGGTTTGTCGGCTACTTGGACCTGTGCAATACTTTCATCATCTTTTACTAATGAATTTTCCTCTCCGTTATTCTAATGTTATGCCTGATTTAAGATAAGTATAGATATCTTTGTTCAGATTATTATATCTATGTAAATTAGAAATCAAGTAATATTTTAATAGTTATTTTTTTTTTTTTTGTTCTTATGCCAGTGAAATACCAAATTAATTTATGTTTCTCCCAACTGTGAATGGTATTTTCAATCTGTATCCTTCACTTATGCATAATATAATCTATGACTTAAATTTTTATTGAACCTTTGGTAATTGTAACAAATTATACATTATTATGTATTGGTACTCCAATAGGATTTTAAATTTCATTATTGAAAAATATTAATTAACATTAGTTGTAGATGTATAAATGACATGTCTCGTTTGACTTACCCGAACAGTATAGCACATATTCCTGTTGTGAATATTCCTCCGTTAAATAACCATTTTGGGCCTATTCTATTAAGCTAAAACATAATAAAGTTACTGTCAGTATTATTTTCAAGGTATTTCAAATTATCTACTTATAGAAAGGTATATCTATCATACTTACATGCTTTCCATAATATGGACTCACTAGGAACACTACAAGTTCGAAAATTCCGAATACTAAGCCATACTCTGTTGCAATGCAACCTTTTTTTTCAGCCTAGAAAAAAAAAATCATGAAAGTCTGAGATCATAAAAGAGATAATAATAATAGTCATTATGTAAATTTAATTCACAATATTTTTTTTATATTTTCCAAATCAATTGCTTTGATATTTTATTCATATTTTTATTTGTAATTTTTATATTTATATTTACATATTTTTTTATTTCTATTTTCATTAATTTTTATGATTCTGATTCCGAAACCTCTTAACTATTTCTTTTTTTAAAAAAAAAGTTTTGAGAGAATCTTTGAGTTTGATAAATTTATTCTCTTCAAGTAATTTTAAGAACAAAAAAACAACAACGATACAATAGTACATTTTCAAAGGTGATAAATGCATCAGACTTCGATTCACTCACAATTTTACTTTAGAAAAAAATTGTAATTGGGAGGTTTTGGCATCATGACCTCAATTTCTCTAATTCTTACTTTTTGTAAATTTCATATGAATATGACAATATTGAATTAAAAATAAAAAAATTATATTTGATTTATTTTTCAACACACAGTTCTCTCTTTTAATTAGACTTATGTACCAAAATGGGTTCCTCAACCTCTTGTGGAATTTAATTATTTTCTCAGTTCTGATGTATGTGCAATTGAAGAAACTATTAAATTTTAGTTGGGTTATTAAATCATATTAATTGATTTGCCAGAACTAGTTGGTATCCCTCCGACTTCTACATTTGCCTCTCTGTGGCCTCCATCCTTTGGGTCGGCCCGCATAAACTTTGTTTTCTTCTCATTGACCTGTAAGCCAATTCTGCTGCTGCTCCTTGTAGTGCTAAGAAAGCATCTTTTATAGCTGCCCGTGTTCTTCAAACCAATGCAATTTCATCGGCAAACCCTAGTAATTGCACTGAATGATTAAAGACCGTTCCACCAATCTGAATTTGGAGTCTTCTAATGGCACATTCGAGGGCAATGTTAAATAGAAGACAAGCCAAGCAATCTCCTTGGCGCAGTTCCTTCTGCATTTAAAAGTAGTCCGACATATCGCCTTGGATTCTGACAGTGCATTGCACCTCCTTCATTGTCACTTGTATCAGTCGCACAAGTTTAGGTGGAACACCCAGGCTCAACATATCATGGTAGAGCTCATCTCTTAGGATGCTATCATAAGCTCTCTCAAAGTCTACGAAGAGGTAGTGTGTGCATACATTATACTCTCTTGCCCTTTCTAGTATTGTTCTAATAGCGAATATCTGGTCGACCGTAGGTCATGAATCCAGCCTGATATATTCCTATTTCTCTCTCATCGAACGGAAGTAGCTTCTGAAAGAGGATTCTTGAGTGAATTTTATATGCACACGATATCAGAGATATTTCACGATAGTTGTGACAGTCCAAGATATCACCTTTCTTATGGATCGGGATGATGATTGTCTTGTACCAATCATCTGGTAACACTTTTTCCGCCCATATTTCCATTATAACCCCATATTTCCATTATGCATAAATCTTGCGAGTCCTAGCCACCCCTTCATATTTAAACAGTTCCGAGGGTATCCCATCTGCCCCAGGGGCTTTATTGTTTTTCAGGAATCCTATGGCGTCTTCCACATCTTCCTTGTCGGGTGGCTTCAGATCACCAACCGGTAATTCGGTAATTGGTAGAAGTGCAAAGCTATGAAAATCGCAAACTTGCAAAAAATTGGATACTGCCTGATATCGGAATGGGAAAGATAAGGAGTCAGAGGGGGGAGAGGAGGTTGAAGGAAGGGTTAAGGAAAAGGGAAGGAGGGGGCGCCTAGTAAAATCTCGCCCCCGGCCTCCACAACTCACGCGACGGCCTGAATAAAATTCATTATACTTTTGACTGTGGACTGAACTTTTGATATTTTGATTCAAAAATTTGTGGTTAGATTCAGTTCAAAGAGCTACAGATGGCGCTGGTGCTGGGTATTATAAATGAATTTAATATTTTTAATTACGAAATCAATTATCTTTAAAATGACACAAACCAATAAAGGTTACTATTAAATATTTACTGAATTAAAAAATTAAAGAGTGTAAGTTAAAGGCAATCAGTTTTACATTTTGTTTGATTTCTTTTTTTGTCCTGGAGGGACCTTTGGGAACCATTGCAATGTCCGACTTAGCGCGACCGCTTAGTCCGCTTATCGCTAGATCAGCTCCTGCCCATTAATATCATGAAGCTCAAGATTTTTATAATCATCCCAAATATCACAAGATATGATACAAATGAATTTTTCTGAATCAAATTAGCAGAAAGTATTCAAAATAAACGTGGATAGCGATATCGAGAATATTTTAAACTTGCTTACAGAATACAAAAGAATGTTGAACAAAAAAGTTTGGAAGTATTAAATTTTCAGCTAATAGTACAAAACAAATGTTTCAGCTTATTTGTCATTGAATGTGACTAAAATAAAAGAAAACAAATGGATTTTATAAAAAATATTTATGTATAATTTTTTTCTGAAATCTAGTTATTGATACAAATTAAAATATTTTAACTACTACTAACTACTTGTTGGTTGGCTATGAAACAGCCCAAATTAAAATGTTCGAAAATGCTAAATAGTCCAAATCATTACAAAAATTAATATTTTAAAATAGTTATTTGTCTTGTTATAAAAGTTTTCGATTAATAAGATATGTTATGGGAATATTGTTGTATATTTATAAGTTTAATCTAAATTATAATTTTTTTTTTGTTGTTGTAATGTTTCGGTAGTTTCGTAGCTTAGTTTTGGATAATCACATTACTATTTTTTATTATTTTATTTTGCAATCACAGACAAATAATAGATAACAATTAATATCGTAAATAATAAAAACAAATGTATTAATAAAAATAAATAAATATGCCAGTCCTAATTTAGGAAAAGTTCATAAATATATATTTGTTTGAAGATTTTTTCCGATGACAATCTCTCTATAATTTATGTTATTTTATTTTACATTTTAAATCCAGATAAATTTTCTGTGATCTGCACCTTTTAGAAGGTGTGTAACATATATGAATTTTTAATGTTATTGATTAATGGTGTGTTGTGATTATATGAATGATTATGGTGCAGGTGACCGAAAACTTCTTTCGGTATAAGACGTAAAATAAAATAATATAAATTATAGAGAGATTATCATTTATAGAAATCCTGATCTTCAAAGAATATAAAATAAGCTCATATTACATAGTATATATATGTGTGATTAGTGCCTATAACTTTCTCAATTTATAGTGGGTTTAAAACTACGTAAAAAGGAGGTAGCTTGGCTAACCTTAACACGCATTTCACAATAGATTCTTCAGTTAAGAGTCAAAACATAAAATTGACCACGAAAAATAATTTTCTATTTAACTTAAATTATCCAGTAGAAAAAACATAATGAAGATATAGGTTTAAATGTTTTTGTCTGTTTTTGGACTCTTGTGTTTTACTTTTGAATCTAGGGACCGATTTTGTTGCATTTTTCGATATTAAATGTAAAGCAATTGTCACTCCTTGCCTATGTGCTAAATCACTCAATATGTAGCTCATAAACAGCTCTATCATTTTTAATGAATATTCCTTAAATTATTTTCCTAGAAGCTCTTGGGCATTGTTTAAAACTAATGCTTTTGGTACGTACACGTATATTAAAAAATATTTAACTATTTAAAAGTTAAAATGTATTTCATTTGTTTGAGTTTCTATTGGTCGAATATAAACTACGCTGAGCAGGGGTGCCAATCCTCCCAAAGTCGATGACGCAAGAACCTATCCCCCTTCTCCTACTCTCAAGACATTTGATTGCTTTAATTTTCTTAAAAACAGAGCTATCGAAGGTAGAATTAGAAAAATCGTAGATCATACACAATTACACTTGCTGCCATCTGTTCCATGTTTTTTTCTTGTCCCTTATTATGAAAATTCATAACTCTGTTAAAACGTGCCCCCTCAAAAATTCAAAAACCCGTCAAAATATGCCCCTTAAAAATTTTGATGGCGCAAGTTGCGCCATGAGCCCCTTTCTGGACACCCCTGACGGTGAGGTTGGGTAACAATCATACGTCCAGAGGTTTAGACCAACCTTAATTCATGCCAATAGATTTGCTCAAGCAGTCTTATAAACAAATAAATATCTCAACATCGTAATATTAAAAAAAAGTAGTATTCGCGGTCACTGACTTTGTTATTGATTGACTGAACCGTTTAAAAAAAAATTATCGATTTGCGTATCCATTCCGATAACGAAATATTCTTCGCTATCATTTCTTAGGAACGTGATTAAATTGCGATATATAAATGGTTGATATTACTAAAAAGAAATTCTATATAATTTACTGAACAAACTAAAGAAAATTAAATTAAGTGCATAAATATTCAAGTAAGATTACGAAACAGAAAAGCATGTTTAATGGATTATTATGAGTGAATTTAAAATTAATAATAATTAAGCTTGAATTTATAAAATTTAATATTATTTGTAAGAACTGAAAATAGAGAGGGGGAGGGGAGGAAGGTGGTACGACGTGACTTAAGTTCGATGAATTTTGTTCCTTCCTCTTCCTCCTCCCTCCCCCATTCTTCAATTTCTAAGTTTCTTTTCTCTCATAAATTATTGAACTATTTTTGATCAAAATATAATAAACTAGAGATAATAGGATTTCTACAGTACAGTTCGATTTCTAATTATTTGAGTAAACTTCATAAATAAGTTTTTATAATTCTGGTATGATAATCTTTTTTTCTTCCCACTTTTCACCAAAGAGAAAATGAAATATATTATTTTTATTAAATTAATTGGTTTAATAGTTAATTTATTTATTTTTAATTTTCTCATAGAATTTATCCCTCAAACCTCTTTAAGCACGAAGTCTATTATATTAATTCATTTTGATATTTTTATATTAATGTTCTGTGTGTAATAAGTAACTTATGCTATTTTTAATGCAGTTTTCAAATTCCATCACTATAAAAAATTGCAGTTATTGAAAAATTAATAATTTTGAATATTTTTTTTCTGTTATAACATGTGGTTTGATTTTAAAATAACGGTCATTTAGAAATATTAAATAAAAATAAATTATGTAGCCATTGGTTGCTTATTTATAGGGGGTTTTATATTGTTTAGTTTATTAACATATATTAAAATAAGGTATTAGTTAATAGTGATAGTAACTGTTTGACGTAGAGTAAACAAAGCACATAATAATTTTATTTTTCAAGATATATGATTCTTTATTACAATTTTTTACAAATTTTCCATATTAGTAATTTTTATTCAAACAGCCCTCAAACTCATGAGATATATGTTTTTATTTCGTTCTCTACACATTTTGGCACAGCTTTCCAATTAGTTTAAAAAATCGACTTTATATTTGTATTAAGGGCTTCCCTAATTTTCTTTATAAAACATTATCTCTCCCACTTATTATTTTTCTATTTTATTTAATGGAGCAAAAAAAAAAAAATTATCTTAAAGACTAAACTTTTATTTCTCTTAACAAATTTTGTTTCAAAACAACTCTTGAGTTTCAAAACATGATTAAAAATCATTAGAGTTTAAATTGAAGTTGTTACAAAAATTTGCTCTTTTTTCAAATTTTCAAAAATTATAGATGTCTGTCTTTGATATAAAGTCCCTCAATTGTTTTTGTGATTTAACGATTTAAATTAATTAGTTATGAGTTGTTCAAGGTTCTGATTTGAATGTTCTTTCTTGTAATGATAAATGAAATAAAAAATAAATTATTTTTAATAACATAATTATAATTTAACAGAGGTAATTCGTAAAATTACTCTAGCAATTTTACATATTTGTATAATTTAGGTGGAAAGCCTCAAATTGTTTAGCGGTAAACGAGGATGAATTAAGTAAGTTATACTATAAGTTTTGTATGGCTTGTGGATTATGGTTAATATATAATTTTAAGTTTATTTTATTTTATTGAAATTCGATTTTTAAAAATTATGAAAACATATACATACCTCCTTCGGATAGAAGGGCGCTTGAAGCGAGACACATATAGCGTTGCAGAAGTCGGCAATGCTGAACACGATCAGCGTGAGGAGCTGCCTCCGTGAAAAATTTGACACTTTTTTCAATACCATATTTTTTGATGTTCAGTCTTCTGTTGAGAGTATGGACTACTGTACCGGGTAGGGGCCTATTAATAAATGTCTTGACACTTGACACTAAGATGCCATGACTACGGAATGAACTGGACACTGGACGAGACTAACTCCCACCAGGGTTTTCCAACCCTATCAGACTTCGCCCTCTGGTCCTATCTCTGGCGACTGTCTGGATCTTAAATCTGTTTACAATTGCCACTTTATCTTTGTTTGTGTCATCGGGGTCTTCCTGTGTACCGATTGTGTCCGAAAATACTTTGTAAATTGCTGATTAGTTCCTTTTCTGCTTATCGGAAAACTTATCTATTTAGTTTATCTGATTACTTGTATCGGTGAAGGGACTTAGCAATCACAAGAAAAATATTCTGAATATTTATGATAACTGTATGAAATAATAATAATTATAGTTAAGGCATAATATAATATTAAGAAATTGAATATTACCTCAATGAAATTGAAGTGAGCATGTAATATTAATTATTATTTAACTTATGGCAGGCAAAAGTAGAGTGAATTATTAAATGAGAGTTTTTCTTCAACTAATTGAAATGGATTTATATTGAAATGAATCCGTAATAGTGGAGTATATATTTGCAAAAAAAAATATATTAACTTCATTAAATAACTGTAAATGTTATTTTAAATTAACAGCAGCCTTTTAAAGAGTTAATTAAAATTAAAACGTTTTTAATTTATTTGTTGAATACCATTATGAACGAATGAATAATTGAAAATTAGACATTAAATATCTTAAAATATAAATATAAAATCAAATCAAAGCTATGGATATATAGTCTTAACTATTTGTATGGTCCTAGATAGGTGTCTTGGATGGTAAGAGAGTTAGTGGCTGCCGTTAGCTAAATAGCAAGAAGTATAAAAACAAATTATAATTCTCAATATTTCTCTCTTCTACTTCGGTGCATAATATTTAGTTTCAGTATTTAGTTCTGAGTCACTCAATAGAAATTAGACCGAAAACATGTAGGTTGACACATGATAAGTTAAAGGTGGACATGACAATTGTGATATATTTTATTATGAGTAGACACATGTAATTCATATAAGAAGTGAAATGGACAAGTACTTGATGGATTTGAAAATGGCTCGACGAGCTGAAACGTCGTAATAAGATGTAGTCATTAAGTTGATCAAATTAAAAATTGGTGTAAAGTGGCTTAAAATAAATAAATTGGAAACAAATTATAATTATTTTGGCTGCCAGATAACATAATCATAATGATTAATATTAAAATTTTACTAATATTAAAATTAAATTTTGTTTTTAAGCTTTTATACTTGAGTTGGCGACTAATATGCCCGACCACCCCTCAAAAATTTAGTTATCTTTTCCAATGAGCATTTATCACAGATCATACCCAAAGAATTTAATTCTCTCTGTTTTATTTATTTATATCCATGTGCTTAAAATTGGAATCAATAAATTTATTTTTATTTAAACTTCAAATAAATAATAAATAAAAGAAAAAAATATTATAACTTGTTTTTCCATTAAGCTATATAAAAAAGGATTGTTTTATTCTTATTTCTATGTTTGTGTAGATTTTACAAAAATTCATTTAAAGATTACCTAAATAACACCTTAAAAAAAAATAGATGCGAAGTCCTAATGAAATTCTCATAAATTGAATAAAATGGTCATGTGTAAAGAAACTACTTTCTTTCAATTTAAACCATTTATTTATTTATTGCTCTTCCGTAACGTCTGTCAAAATAATTGACAACAATGCATAGATTGCTCATAAAAATCTTCAAGCCAATCTATGAGCTTTAAATTACATCTCCATTTCTAGGACTAAGTCCTTCTTCACCCATCTGTTTGGAGACACCGCAGGAACAGGTCCTGTTCTTCCAAAAATGGTCAAAGTCCACCAAGTCAATAGATGAGGGAAGTTCTTGGAAGATGTAGTGATCGATTTTTCTTCACAGTTTGGTCCCCATTGTCTCAAAAGTGGTACAGTCTAAAATGATATGTTCAGACTTCTCTGGAACTCCATATCTGGAGTACAGAGGATCTGTGTCCTTTCAAGAAATCTTCATGCCCTGTGAGAAATTTAGGCAGCCAGTCTGATAATTACTTTCCGCTTTTTGTAGTGCTCACCCACTGCTGTTTTCACTCATTAGTGGTATTTCCTTAGGTTATCTTTTTTCGATTTTCTGTGGTTTTCAGTAATTAATAATTAAAAGAAAAATAACTTTAATGCTTATGTAATCTTAACAACTTTTTGGTATCGAATTGCTATTGCTAATCCCTTTTATTTTTCCCTTTCCTTCAAAGCCCAGCAGATTAAGGCATCAGTGTTTCACTAATGCCAAATAATCCTTATATTCTTGGGTCTTCTCTCTGTTTCGGACTTTATTTCCCTCAGTCTTTTTGATGCCAGTGGTGTCCTTCTTCTCCTTTAGGCTCCAATCTTGAAATGGACATGGTCTACTGTTTACTTATAAGCATAAATCAATTTTATAAACAATGGGAAGTTTTCCTCTCTCACCAATATAGGAAATTCCTCCTCAGGAAGAATCAATATTTCCATGGTGCTTAGCGTCTAAAAGGCAGTGAAGGTTGTGTCTACATGCTGTACAGTTTTTGAACACTGATAGTGGATGATTAGGATCAATGTATTGGCCAAGGTCATAAAGCTGGGCTATTTATTTAAACCCTTTTGTGCCTTTTTGCAATGTGAGTTCTTACAAAAGTATACCCATGTCTGAATAACATTTCAATTCTGTAAGAAAAATAAATAACATTATTTCCGTAATATTAGCGCTCAGCATTAATATTCATATGATTCAGGTTTCTATTACTCCTCCTCGTTCTAATAGAATTCTAGGAATAGAAACTCTTCTTGCGAGATTGAAGTGTGATCAATATTAATTATTATAACTTGGCCACCTGTTGTCTTACACCCATACAAAAAATACTATTAGTGTGTAGTGTTTTGTTATTTATTTACCAAAGAGCGTCTATTATTGGTTTTAAAATTTTCGATTGAAAAAAATTCTAATTTTTGTAAAGTTTGTCTTCTTTGCTGAACCACAAATCTGTGAGGCTTTTGTCCTTACGGGTTTAAGAGTTGTTAGGTATGTCATATGTATACAGCATGTTCCGTAAGTAGTTGGAGTGATAACAGACCTCGAGGGCTACAAGCGATTTCATTTAAATAATGATCCAATTTTCAGCAGAAAAGTAGGAAATTCAAGTTTTGTGTTTTTTAAAGTGTCACGTCTTTTGTTGAATAGAAAATGCTAATTTAAAAAAATACCTTATTTAAGTAATTATGAGTGTGTCATGTTTTTCGTTAAATAGCTAATGATAACTAAAGAAATATTTAATTTAAGTAATTAAAATTGCTTTGCTGTAAACTAGACAAAATATACTTCAAATAAAGATAAGTTTGTCATTGTTATAATAATTTAAAAAGGACTCTTGAGTGGCTAAACTAAGTTAGGTTCTGTTCATAAAAAAATCAAAATTGGACAAAAGAGGTGGAAATGTCAACTGTAATAAGAAATCTTAACATTACAGGAAGAGTCCAGTGCAAAAATATCTGATTGAATAATAATTTTTTGTTTGGTAACGTAATAAAAGAATTCATCAAATGAAATAACCCTATAAATAGCAAAATGGGCAAAATAAATCTTTTCTTCTATAATAGTAAAATCAAGAAGTCTTCAAATTAAGAAAAATAATTTTTATATTCTTACTTCAATTAGTTTTATCATTATTTTTTAACATTTCATGTTTCAATATAGGAAATGTTGGTTTTATTTGCTTGTTTTTTAAAAATATACTTACTTTTAATTATTCAGTATATAATATCAATATTATTGGATTAAATTATTTTAATAGTGGCCTCCCCTAAAATGAACAAAATTTAATTTTCTTGCTATATTCTGAAATAAATTTTCAATAACCTATAAATGTTACTGGCATTTGATTTTTATTTAAAATGATCAGGTAAAAATAATGGAACAAGATTGCTTTATAAATATTTGTATATTTTTTTAGAAATTAAAGTATAATAAAGCTTAAACTTAGAATCTAGATAACCTATTGTACTTATCACATTATTTATTTATTTACAAATTAAAAAAATATTATCTGAAACAATATTTAAATCCTTGAACAGTTTTTTAATGGTAAACATTTTTAACTTCTTAAAAGGAACTTTAAACGAAAAACAAATGTTTAAATTTCTACATATAACATCATGTTTCTACATGAATATTATCGTTGAAGATTATCATTAAAGCCTTTATGATTCATTCGTTGCATTTATATTATATGTATATATATATATTTTTTTCTTCTTCAAAATTAGACAACATTAATAAGAAAATTAATCTTTGCAAATGGGTACAATATTACATTGTTCGTTAAGCTCAATGTCAACTATTTTACAAAAATTGACACAACTTAATTAATTATCTGTACATATCGCTCTTTGAATACAAATTTCTTGGTTGAAAACATGTTCTTAACATCGAATCAGTTAATTTTTGAAATTATTTACACAGTCATGTTCATATAAAATCAGGAAAGAGCGTAATCAACATTCATGATATTATTCATTATTTCTGTAATATGATTAGTTTTTAGTTTAGGAATGGTTCAATATCATTATAAAGTATTCATTCATTTAATTACAATTCTGTAAATAGCTGTTTTATTTTATTTGTTAATGTTTGAACTATATACTCAATTACTCAAAGTGAGTTTACATTTCAAATGAGAAGAAAACCTTTATTAGAAAACATTCATCACCATTTTAGCTGGTTTAAGAATTCTGAATTTTTTTTTTTTTAGTTGTCATAACTTACTTTTTTTAAACTTAATTTAGAATGAATGATCCGAAAGAATGATCATCTTTGTTATAGTCTGAATAAGTAAATATGCCAAATAAGTCATAACTAACATTGCAAGATTTCATTTCATGGTGAGTTCTTAAATTTTTTTGTGATGTTACCAGGCAATTATTTTCTAATCTAGATAGAAAAAGTGCTGCTATACGATAATTTTTCTCATCATTCTTTAATAATTCCCCCCTTATGTGGTACACAATCTCTTTTAGTATATCCACATTGAATAAGGAATGTTGTTTCTGTTCATTTACTGAAAATTTCATTCAGAAAACAACCAGTAAGTAACTACTCATCTTAACAATTTGCTTAAATTTTAATTCCTCTGTCTTTTATATGCTACTAATGGATAAAATTAAGAATGAATAATTTTAACAATAACATAGAGATCAATCGAAAGAAGATAACATACATTATTCTCACATCATTCAGCTATTGCTGTTTATTAAAAAAAACATTTAGGGCATTTCTTATTTTTATTTTATTTTTTTCTCTCATCAATTTATTAAGTAAATTTTTAATAATGTCTTCTTTTGTTATTGTAATCTTCTAAAATATTATATTAAAATTATTCAAATGTTATTTAATAATGGCTGTTATTGGCTCCTAATCATCTTTAAATAGAACTGGCTCATAAAATTACTTAAACTTCAGATTATTTTAGGAAAGGACTAGTGCAAGTAAGTAATCAACTATGTTTTATTCAAGTTGGTCCTTTGGTTTAATATTTTATAGTTTGTACTTCATGTATTCTACTTTATTGTGGTGTAAACTTGAGTTTAATTACGACCATCAAAGCGCCTTTAATATGGACTTTCATTTTTATCCTAAGTTAATCTTACATTGAAAAATATAATACATAGGAAGCTGGACTTCCTAATTTGAAGATCACATAATGATGCAAAATAGGAAAATCTTATCAAAATTAAAAGTTTGATAAAACTTTACATTCCAAATGACATCAAATTTTTACTTCATAAACTTATTTGCACTGAGGATACAACATTATTACCGAAATTCGTATTAAGTTTTCATTTGTCATATTTGATCAATCACTTGTGCATATAAGTAATAAAGCATCACAATAAATAATATCCCGAAATACCAAACTTTTATATTAAGGGATAGTGTCTTTGAGCCAAATTGGTATTGGGACTTGCAGGAAAGCTCCATTAAGGAATGATTTGAAATGTTTTCCTATAGCAGCTGCGGCTGCTGGCTTCATTTCTTCTATTATCTCATTCGCATTTTGATTCAGGAACTGATTCATAGCTTCACCTGTCAAATACATTTTTTATATTAAAACAATATTAAGATAAATTAATAAAATTTATTATATAATATTTTATAAAATATTAGCATTAAAATTTTTTGATCAATACATTTTTTGATATCAATACTTCTCATATCCAATCTACATTGTAAAAGGATCAGAATGTATTTTTTATTGGAGACTTATATAGCTATCAATGATATTTATTGGAATAATTATACAGCTTGTTTCGTCAAGAAATGTGTTTTTTAGTACCATATTGTTGAATAAAACAGAAACAACTGCAGACTAATTAAGAAAATAATGGAGATATATGAGATATATATTCTTGTTTCAGGCCCCTTAAAGAAAAATAATTTTTTTCTTAAATACAATTTAAATTAAAATTTAAATAAAAACAATAATATTATCATTTGATTGAGAAAAAAAAATGTATGTATTGTTTCTGCAATAAATTTATCATTATATTAAGGAAAAAATTACATAAAAAACATTTGTAGCGCACCTTAGTAAGTAGCGTGGTTTAGTACCTTCTTTTTTTAAATCAATATTTTATTGAGAATAAAAAATACATTTTGCCTCAATTAAGGGCAATGAGTATTTAGGACGTATGAAACACAAACAGTACCTTCAAGATACGCAATTTGGTTCCTCCACCCACACTAATTTCCCTAATGTTTTGGTTGTAAAGTCAAATATAAAAAAAAAAAACTGGTGTATCTTCCTAATTATTGGTGGGATTAAGCAGGTCTGACAAATGAGGATGAGTAACTGGGCCCGGGGTCCATAGATTATTGACGAAAATTGGCCTACACATTCAAACTATAATCCTGATAGCTGGCTGTAGAAACTTTTTTTTTTCTGGACCTAGGGGGCTCTGAAGTCTAAACATCTTTCAAAATTGTACTTTATAATATTTTCCTTACCTAGTAGCATTAAGAAAGTAAAATATATGTATATACCAATACAATTATTACAATGATTATACAGTTTATTAACACAAAAATAATTACTTAAATTAAATGATGCCTACCTAGAACATTGTTGGTATTCAACAAGTCTCTAATTTTAAATCTTGATCTTGCCAGTTTGAAGTCTACTAGCAACCTCTCTGTCTTCATGAAGCGAACTCCTCCTTTTATTACTTCCTTACCGAAAATTTTTGCTATTCCTGTTATATTTGCTGGAATTGCAAGCAAAATTACAGATTTATATTTATTTAATGATTGTTTTGTGAAAATAAAAAAAATGAATAGTTTCATATCAAGAAAGTAAGTCAAACTAAACAAATAACTTGCACCACCGAGTGTTTCTCCTACACCTACAGAATGTTTTGTTCCAGTATGGTTATTTACCCTGCTGAAGTCAAGTACCCTTGTGAATCTAGAGTTAAGGGTTTAAATCAGTCAATAGATAAATTTGTTTTAATATTGATGTCCACTTGTCATTTCCTAAATAAAAACATGTTAAATGTTAGTTTATGTTTGGAGCATATTCAATTATCATGAAAAGTTGCAAATTGAGTTATTTGAGGTGATTTTCCTAAATCTTATCCATAGTCATTGTCACAGAATATCATCTGGAAAATAAGGCATACAAATATTATTCAATAAATTAAGCAATAATGATGTATCTCTTATAACTTAATAAAATAAATTCTTTGGTAAATATTTTTTAGACTAAATTCTTTGGAAAATTATTCGTATGCTAGTATTTTAATGTTTTTAAGAATGATATACCTAACATGTCCCTGCTGTCAATTTTATTGTTATCTTGATTATTACAGTGTACATCGATTAAATCTTTCGGGTACTTACAGAATAGTGCCCAAAAGTCTCCTCTGCTTCTTACAGGCAGAAGAAGAACATTACCGCTAACTTCGTAACTTCCTGTTGTCTCTATCCTTGGAATACCAAGTGTTAAATCAATCTTGTAGTTCTTGACATCCCCTCTGTAACAAAAATTTATCCGAGGTATTTTAAATTTATAATTTATAGCTAAGTATTATTGTCATTGGAACTATGTTTCATTTCCTTTTTCTATCATGAAAGAAAGGATTATGATGTCAAAGATTCTGATGGTACTGACATGTTGATATAATAAATGTTTTAACTTGTCTGTAGACTCTTTTTATTATTTTGCTGTGTTATAGAAGAGAGTGTGTAATGATATTATTTTGTTTTTCAACCTTTTTCTATAGCTCAGTTTTATAACCGAATACTAAAATCATCCTAAATACTTCATACTTCGGAAAGATATTCCCACTTTTATGTTATGCAGAATTTCAATTCAGACCTTTTATATTTTTCTTCAATTCCACAAATTTTATGGCTGAATTCTGTTGCTCAATATCTCTATTTGTCAATTATAAATATCTTTGATAGATCTTCCAGTGGTGGACATATCATCCATCCAATACTACCTGGGTCTTTCCACTCTTCAAGTGACATATATTTTTTTCCTTCCTGGTATCTGATATGTTGTCATCCATGGTAACATTTATAATTTGAGGATTCTTGTAATCTTACCCTGATTCAGCATTGAATCCTTCATAATCCATTACTGTGCCGGGAAACTAAATATATTCCTTAACATACCCTGTTCAAATCATAGGAGGTGATTGGCTTCTTTTGCTCTTCTCATTGGTGTACTCAACGAAAGGTGGAGGCTTTTAAGAAAAATTATAAAATTTTTATTATAAATATGATGGCAATATTTTAATTACAAAATTCATTATAAAGATGTAATGTTTTAACATAGTTATGAATATAGTGTCAACACTTTAATATAGTTTATATTGATTTAAGACATTAACAGCTCACTCATCATTCATATTGTTATTGGTAATTTTATCATTTGTTATATAATGCAGAATGTAATTAAAGGATATTAATATCAATATATAAAGTTACAATTATTACAATTTCAATTAATTACTATTGAAATTAATATTGTGTTTATAAACTTTGGACAAAATATTGTAATTATCAAATTAAAAACAATCAACTAGTTAATACCTGACATCCAAAATAGTGTAGTTTGTAGCTCCATGGACTGTTATGTTAGAGAATAGTGCTCTTACTCTAACTGCTCCATTTCCATTATCCATAGCCATTTTGGATATCCTCAATGGTTCAATAGACTGCAGTTTTATCTCAGGAACACCTGGAATTGTTATTAACTTTATATTTTCAAAAACTGTGAGTAATAATTTATTATATTGTCTTTTAAAATATAAATACGGCATTCTATCTAGATGGAATCTGTTAGTTCTTTTTGAATATTTCATAATAAATTTTTGGAGATAACATTGAAAAGAAAAACATAATGACAGTAGGAAATCAATAGTTTCTCTATTACTGAAGATGGCCTCCCAATTGCAGATTATAAGTTTGCTAGTATTATTGAATATATATAACAAACATTTGTATATATTTTATAAATACTAGGGGGGAGGGTACATCCTGTCCACCTAATGGAGGACGAACTCCCATTTTACAAATTAAATAACTGTTCATTTAATTGTACTACTCATTACACATATTTCATAACTCTAATTTATATGTATTCTGCAGTTGTGATTGTATTATTTTTTATCTACAAAAATAAATGGAACAAAACCATAATTTCTAAAAAAATCTATATTATACCCCACACCTTATTGCCAATTTACATTATTTCATAATTATAATTATTCTTATTGCCAATTTGTAACTGTAATGCACATTCAGTAAGCCCAGCTTCATATAATCCCAAAATCAATTTGAGCTTTTCATTTCTAATGTTTTCATGTACGTTATATTGCGCTTCATAATAATTACAATTATATCACAATAAATTGATATATAATGTAATAAATAATTTATTCTATCCAAGAAGAAAATGTCTGGATCGAAAAATAACGCACGTCACCTAGGTAAAATCAAACTACCATCTATTCAATCCAAGGTATCCAAATGAATACCATTATTTTTTATTTATTTATCAACCCTGCCGTGCCTAGTAGGCAATACGGGTGTCTGCAATAGTAAGATGTTAGGCAGGTCAGCTTAACATCTCACTGCTGCAAATAAATCTTGTTCTTCTGCTCTTTCTTCATTTTTTTTCTCTTTCTTCATGGTTGCTTTTCTCATCCGTTTCACGCCAATGGTATAGTACCTCTTCCTCCTCTTCTTAAATTAAAATGGGCTGGCCCCACCGCGACTTTCCACCCGTACACAAAATCTTTATAGTACGGGCAGTTTTCCGCAGTGACTAACTGAGGAAAATCGTTCTCTGTGAGAATGTAGAGACCGGTTTCCCTCAGTAACTTAGCCCTTAGTTCTTCAAAGGCGGTGCAGTCCACTATGATGTGCTCAGCAGTCTCCGGAACACCGCAGCTAGGGCATAGGGGGTCGATGTCCATCCTATGAATACCATTATGCTATTAGATTCTCTGAGGATGGGCAGGAATAATTCGGTTCTAGGTTTATTTTCTTAATTTAAATTAATTATTTATTGTAATGCTTTAGCCCTTCATTCATGCATATTGAATGCATATGCATATAAATGTTGACAATTCATGCTCATCACATTTGATTAAGAACATTTATATGGTATGAGATGAATTAACAAGAACTGAGATTACTTAAAATAAAATAAAATATATATATATATTTTTTTAGTATTTTGAGCACAAATTATTTGGAAGATCTCACAGAGTAATTTAAACCACCCATCTTAAAAACAATTAGACAAGTCGTTCTTTGTTTAACGGACAGATTAAATACATTTAATTTTACCAGTTTAAGCTGAGATGGTTTCAAAACATTCAGTATACTTCGCTGAATAATTTGAGCCAATGAATTTAAAAATCCCTCTAGCCGCTCACTCAAATTCGTCCCTCTCTAATCTCTAATCTCCAAGCAGTCAATCCAAACATATAACCTTCCTTATGGTCAATTTATAAACAAAAACGAAACTTCTTTGTGTATCTGAATAATTAATTTTAACAATCAGAGTTGTAATTTAGGAAGTTCTAATCGGCCGTTCATTGTAATTTATCAAGAGAAATCATCATTCGTCCATAAGGAAACTGCTAATTTTAATAGTGATTGTGAGTTATATTACGAAAATATCCAAGGACTCCTTTGACGGTTCAATTATATAAAATTGCTCTCTTGTCTGGTTACTATAAGCTCTCGAGTTGGTGTCGCAATTCATTTGGAGTTGAGCAAGGATTTTAAAACAATTGTTTGTGAAAGGGTTAAGAAGATCTCTGTACACGAGGCCTGACCTACATTCGGTTATATTTGGAAACTAGTTAGCGTGGGGGATCGGTAATTGAAGAGATTTTCTCTAAAACGTTTTATAAATTTACATTAAAACGGAATTCGTTTCGAATTAATTAAAATAAGAAATGGATCTGAGGATACGGGTTTGGCTACTAAAGGGCAATAAAATTGTCTTTCATTGTAGTCCTTGAACTTCAATTTTCGGTTATGTTATGGCGAATTGCTTTATTATTTATTAATTGTATAAATGTGATATCTATTTTATTAATGTAAATAGCTTATAAACTATAATTAAGTATAACAAAAGTGGCAACACTTGTTCAGACCAATGTGCTGCTTGGGTATGCTTTGTCTTGGGTAAGTTCGGCAGTGGCATCCAATAGAGCAGGAGTTCCCGAAATTTTTGGCCCGAGGGCCAAATTGAGACCTTAATGTCTCGCGGGCTATGACTTTTGACGAAATAAAATAATCTTGTTTATAAACGACCCTTCAGTTGTGAAATAAGCTTTCTAAGAAAATAAAGACATGCAAAAAATATTGTAGCGATTTCTTGTGTGAGTTATTTGCTAAATTCCATATTTTTGTAATAGCTTATAAAATTTTATTGTGTAAGCAAATAAATTTTCGCGGGCCGGACTGGATGGACAGGATTCGGCCCACGGACCGAACATTCGGCGCCTCCGGGCAATGATGTCATTTCTTCCTCCTAAAAAAATTAAATTTATTTCTTAAGATAGTTTATAATATGTAATATTTAAATTTTATTTCATTCAATATATCTCTAATACAGTTGATTTATTAATAGACTACATTTCATTATTAAAATCATTCATTCAAGCCATCTTATAACTACGGTTTGTATTTTTTTTATTCCTAACAAGTGGCGAGCGCCCCTGTAGATTGGTCGGCGCCCTAGAGCAATTGCCACGGTTGCCCCGCCCTAAGGCCGGCACTGACCTCTGCATTTGAGTAATATTGATACTGGACTGTTTTTGTTTCAATATCCTACGATCCTATGAAAAGTTAAGCAGTATAACTTTTAAACATTGACATAATTTTTAATTAAAAAAAAAAAAGTATTCATTTATGTTAAATACAAATGATTTTCATCCGATATTATTTTTTCATTAAAACAAGTATATACATATATACAGAGTGTCTCGTGAATAAGTGATTTCAGTTTCTTAAGACTTTTCGTTTTAGAGCTATTTGATTAATTATTAACTATTAGAGCTACTAAATGTTCACAAACGCGCACGCGCACACTTGACTTTTCTCTTGGGCAAGAGATCCCTCACTAAATTGTTACATTAAAAAAACAAAACATATTCGAAATTATCTCATTATAGTACAATTCTTAATACGAAAAGGGTTATAAGCAAATGTTTTTTTCCCCTAACAAGTGTGTTTAAGATCTGTTATTATCCCTGTTGAGCAAATCCGATACCTAGGGCTCCACCTGGACAAACGTCTTACTTGGAATCCTCATACCAGACTGAAACGACAAGAAACCTATCGACGTTTCCGACTACTTCAGCACTTACTAGACAAATGCTCCAACTTTTCAATTAAATACAAAAGACTCATATACATGATCATAATAAGACCTATTTGGGCTTTCGGACTTGAGCTTTGGGGCTCCACTAAACCATCGAATTCCTATCGTATCCAATCTTTACAATCCAAAACCTTCGTGAAATCCTTAATGCTCCTTACTTTGTAACAAATAAAATAATCCATAATGATCTGAATGTTCAATATGTTTCCGAATTGGCCCAATCCAGATATCTACCATTCCATAATAAACTTCAGAACCATCCTAATCTTCTCGTTTCTAACCTTGCTTTCTCCTCGATCCCTGACAATCCTCCTAGGCGTCTGAAAAGAAAATGGCCTCGTGATCTCCTAATTTAGATACTTTATTAGAGTGCTACCAATGGGTAGATTCTCTACAAGCCTTATCATGTCATATATTTCTTTGTATCACATTTGCTGAATGTTTATTAATTTGAACAGTTGTTAATTTCATAAATAAAAAAAAAAAAGATCTGTTATGCGTAGCTTCCAGAAAATGAAATTTCTTCTAAGGTCTTATGGATTTAATTAAGGATGACAAGAAACTAATTAATCCGCGTTATTTATAGACACGTCACAAGTCAGTTTTACAAATGTCATTTGGCGTTTTCAGGAATTAAGTGTTCTAATAAAAATATTTTAAATTAAGGTGCATAAATAATATATGATAACTAAGCTAACATCTGCTTTTAAACAAATCATAAATTTTTCGCGATTTTTTTTATTATTATCCAACTATAGTACACTTACCCCACTTTTAGAAAAACTAACACGTTTAATAAAGTTTAAGTTTGTATTAATTAAATTGAGGTTTATTAGGCAAAAACTTGAGATTCATCTCAAGTTGTGTAAAGAAATAATGTGATTTTCTATACAGTCTCCTATAAGTACCCATGTTTTCGGCAAACATGACTACAATTAACTGTAAAGCTTTTATTAATTTTTGTCCATGATCTGGGATGTATTATAATAAAAATAATTGCCTAAATATATATTTTATTTATAAAAATAATAAAATTTAAAATAATAATTTTAAAATATTTTTCATGTAAAGGTGGTTATGTAATTGTGTTTTTATTCCAGATCTCTATCATAGGAGTTTATCCGTATTTAAAAGTGACAACCTAAATGTTTCTAGCCCTAATATTTACGTTTTCATGAAAATAATTGAAGCGATCAGTAACTTTCTTTATTTTAAACGTCAATTTTAGGAATAGAAACATTATGTTTGTCAATGATTAATGCGGATTAATTCCCACGACAGAAATGTGGGAGAAAAACACAATTACGTAACCACTGTACATGAAAAATATTTTA